TAAAATAAAATAAAATAAAATTAAATTAAATTAAATTAAATTAAATTAAATTAAATTAAATTAAATTAAATATCCCAGAGAGACTTTACAGTGCAGAACACGTTCAATCACCAAACACTTCATTCAGATACACAAACCTTATCACCACAACGCTTTCAGTCAAAAAGATCAGATATGAGAAATAAATTGTGTTTATCAGCATTCTGAAAACAGTTAAATAAGAGCTCTGGATGTGTACACAAACTCACTATGCATATCATGTGTTTTTCCTAACACAGCTAAAACTTTAAATAATATTTAGGGTGTTTCATGGAATTGCAGTATTTGAACAAATATTAATGCACGTATAGGCTATAAATATGATGCAAGCAATTTTGTTCATGCCACAGTATTGTACAAATGATAATATCTGTCTGTGGTATTGCAGAGCGGTGTGACTCCTGTGCCATAAGTTGATGTAAGTACTATGTTGTATATGTAATCGGTGCTGTCATGATTCATTTTGCATCAAACTGATAAGCAGTTCCTCTTCTATTTAATGGTGTGTTTTCTTGTTAGTTCTTAAATTGTAATAATATTTCCTTAATCTAGTGTCGACTGTCGGCACGCTCACATCCTTTTTTTTGTTCAGTGTGAAAGATTGTCTTTTTGTCAAATAAAATAATCTCACTTTAACTGGTGTTAAGGCTTTTGATAAATTCACAGCTTTAGGTTATTGTATCACTTACGTTCAAAATATTTGCTATTACCACCGTTGGGTAGAAAATAATGAATGCTAGTGATGTTGTAAACTGCACGATTTTAATAATGTTTCACACTAGTATAAATATCGTAATTTGATATTTCATTAATAGTCATCCTTGCATGCCTTTGCATTTGCATTTCAATCAGTGAACCTATGTTTTAAATATTTGCAGTGCAATGTTGGACAACAAACAACCACAGCGTCGGCTACATAACATGCACATTTGCATGAAACATGTACCGCTATTTTTGCAACTCAGTGCTTGCAGCTTAAGTGACACTTAATTACGGAGTCTAAAACATATCTGGAGGAGGAAAACGTTAAAAATTTGCCTGATACATTTCCTGAGATATCAGCGCGATGTCTTTAAATGTCTTGGATTGATATACAATTTTTACACTAGAGAAAAGGCCCACACGTTCACACTGTAATAATATTTGACACTTAAAAAACAAGAAAATGCATCTGATTGTTCAAATAATCTGGATGAAGTTTTTATTCTTCCTGCAGTTAACTATAATTTTAGTAGGACTGGATAATATTTACTGAGAAATATTTTTTTTAAAACAACATATGTGTCTCTGTGTGTGTAACATGAAACGATGTGTGCTCACCTGTCTATTTCTCTGGTCAAGAATACGAGAAATTTGTATTTTCTTTCTTCCCATTTTCTCTTCTCTTCTTAGTCTGACACCTGTCAAACAAAGTGAAAATCAGTGTTATACTAGAATAAAACAGCATGCTTAAACATTTGCAGTAATGTGTGAAAATCAGCACCAATGAAATGACCTAAAACATTAAATGAACCTTTACTCTCGAAGATCACAAAAAGATTTACCTCGATACTTAAGCTTGCATTTGTAAGCAGTTGAACTAATTATTAATTACTGTAACAAATTTGAGGTGATATGATCACATATTATAATAAGAATAGAATAAATGTTCAGTCTTTAATACAATTCTGATGGGAAAATGTCATCCCTTTGCTTTAAGTGACTCAAGTCCTTTCCCCTCAGTGGGGCGAGGGTGTTTATTTTTACCACCATGAAGCGATGCGGTCTAAAGTTAGCGTGGCTCTTGTGGGGCCAGCAGTCCACACAGAATGACACCCTGACAGTCTGGGTTACCCCCGGGCCAACAGCACAGTGCTTGACTGCACCAAGCGGCCCCAAGAGACAGGGTTAAAAATACAGTCCATAGCTCTTTTTAAAGGTTCAGCAGGCAATAGCTGAAACCAAACAGTAGAAGGAAAACGGTGTGTTCTTGAAAGATGGCTAATGCTAAAAGCCACCCACTCTTCTCTCATGCACGGCCAGGTCAGAAAAAAACAAAACAAAACAGGATTTTCAGGGGCAAATAGCAAAGACGTGGCTGGCTTGAGAATGTCCATTTTTGAAACTCACACCCGTGGTTTTTCTGTTTTTGTTGGGCTAGAAAACAATGCCCCCCATCCCTGCTGTATAGAAACAAAAACAAAGCAGAAAAACGTGGAACTGAATGTTTAATTACATTGACGCTTTAAGAGATGGCTTTGCTGAAAATACAACACTAAATCAAATGTATCCATAAATTTGCTCCCTGTATGAGCTGTCTCCGTTTGATGCTCACTATCAGTAAAACAACTGTGTTAAGTGGTGGTCTGCCTCTTCTGACTGGGCCATACAGTATTTCTCTAAAGCCCAGAGGAGTTTTCACTGGTTTTCCCCCCTAATTCTAGACGTCGTGACTTCTCTATATTTAGTTGCTTGCCCCTCCTGATGGTGCCTGAGCGGATATGAAGCCCATGTTCCCATGACCCCTAAAGTGCCCGCTGTCCTTCAACATAAGCTTGGCACACAGAAATTTGGGGCATGTCTGGAAGAGTCCACCTCGTTGCCCTTACGATTACCTTATAAAGTCTTGCATTATTTGCTTCGTTGAATATGTTGCAGAGCCAAGACAAACCTCAAAAGTAACAGCTGCAGACAAACTCATCCTTGCCAATGTCTGTACGGTAAAACAAAGTGCACAACAGAAAAATAGAACCACAAAACCAGCACTGGTCTGTCTAACTAACAACTCAACTACCACAAAGAATTCACACCAGGCCAAGCTGTTCTGGGTTTTTTTTGGACCAGAAGTGAGACAATTTCACCTCATATCAAGGCATGTTAATGTAGAGAAGAGAGGGAAGTGGGACATATGTTCTAAAAAAGGCTGAAAGATGTTTATCACAGGGTTTTACCGAAGGTTCCGCTCCTCTCAAATACAACCAAATGTCAACTATTAGAGCTGCTGACAGCTCTGTTAAAAACCTATGGCTAGCTGGGTATATATAGCTGCCCCTCCAGCAAACCGGCGTGGAGTTAGCTATAGAAAATCTATGTGGTTTGGTAGGTTTGTCAAAGGCCTAAAGGCCGAGGTGGGCAGGAAAAGCCTGGCTGTGCCTCACAGCTAAATCTGGATACTTTCCCATTTGACAACTGCCATTTGAGGTCTGCACATTCACAGAAACAAAAAACAGCATGCACCTACTGCCTGTGACATTTCATCTCCATGGTCAACTACTGAACATCTCGGGGAAAAGGTGGACATGAAACGGAACAAGCAAATCTTCCTTTTTGTCTCATTTGCCATCAAATGGACATGAATGAAAAACAGAATCACCATCTAACCTGTCATCGTCCAATAGTTCAGCACATGCACACCTTCCCCAGAGCCTCAGGCTTCTAGGGAAGGACAGTGCCTTTGACAGATATCTTCCCAAAGGTGAGACAGTGGAAAACACTGAGCACAGACACATACAAGGGCAGCAGGAGCTTTGCTTTACCCCGGGATCGTCTGACTAATCACCGGGGAACTACCTGGGACAACAGTGCACATGTACAGAAAACCCTGCGCATCAAGGTAATTTTAATTGGTCTTATTAGCACTGCTGATGTTGCTCATTAACAATATGTATCGCGCGACATGTTTTCTTGCTGCAGTGAACTGTATGCATGAATGAGAAGGGGGAAAAAGTAGGGCATTTGTAGAGTATTGGGGGTTCTGCTTCAATGGTTTCCTTTCCATGAGTCATTCAGAGCATGGTGGCTTCAAATGTTTCAAAAACATGATAAACACTTGTAAGCATATTAGCCAGGGAGGTTAATGGTTTCTTCTATGGTGAAAAAGCAGATTGCCCTGCTCTCTACGCAGTACTGAATGTTAAATATGACAAGATATATAATGGTAGTGTTAAAATACTGATAATTAAAGATGGTTTGAGAAAAGGGTTTTGCTTTTGCTAAACTATTTTTTTCATGTTTTGCTCTGTGAATGCATTAGTTACACAACTATGGTGATCACAAGAGAAGCAACACCTAAAATGTCTACTGTACTATATGGGTATAATGTGCTTTAACTGTTGCAAGCAGTGTGTGAATCAAATCTAACAGGGTTGTTGTTTTCACTGTTTTAGCCATTTTATCAGCTTGTGAATGTCATATCAAAGGCCAGTGTTATGTGGGCCGATGTCTGTCTTCACCCATTCCCTCCCTGTATGTATTAGAGCATATACATACATCCTTCTGAACTGAAGTTAAAAAAGGTGAAGGCCAAATCTTGAAAAATGTGAAGTCTTAGTGACAGCCTCACTTATTCAAATCAAAACAGAAGCATACTCATAAAATAAAGGCCCCAGGGGAACACTTTGCTTCTTAGTCTTTATAGTTCTCGACAAAGCTTTGCATAGCTAGCATGGTAACCAAAAGAGGTCTTTTTATTATTTTTATCTTGCAGTATACCTAGCTGTATATGTCTCTGTTTGCCACCTTTGGGGTCAAATGGTTCATGTGCTCATCGGGCCTTTGCAGTGCAATAGTGAGGGAATATTTGTCTAATTTTAACTGGGTATAATTGAATTGCCTTGATATTTTTTCATAGAGCCAGAGTAGCAATGTTGCATGCAGGCATGTGCTGAACATTTGATCTTTCCATAAATAGAGAAAAAAGGTTTTTTTTTTAGTCTTCCAAAAGGTTAGAAAGTCTGACATCCTCTCAAACTATCTGTGAAGATGAGCCACACCTCGCACTAAAAGAGGAAAACCTCTTTGAGGGCATTAAAAATGGAAAAAGATACATGTCCAGCACAAAGGAATGTCAGAAGATTAAAGACATCGGAATCAGTAATGCTTGCTTTAAATTAGACTAAGGACAACAGGTAAAGGGATGAAAGAGCTATCTATCTGTCTGTCTAGATATCTATATCTATATCTGTTTCTAATAAGAGCAAAGTTAGTCGAGATTCTTCTTAAAAGTTGAAGCAGTCTACTTAGAATGGACTCATGGGAGTCATGGGATGTGCTTATTCTCAAAGGACTCTGATTCATTTTTCACAGTGAGCAAGCCAAGCAAGAATTAAGTAATAATAATAATAATAACTTTTTTTTATTATTATAATGATAATAATAATCATAAAAGTTAAAAAGAAGTAGAAATGCATTGCTTAAACCCGTTTATGCGCAATTATTCCCAATAACTTGCTGACGTCATTTCAAATAGACAGTTTAAGAATAGCCCGTCTGTCCCCGAGTTGCCAAGCACTCCTGTCTATTATAGCCTCATCTCAATAACACAGCAACAGGTACTTTACTCACAGCTGTGTCATGCAATGCTCTACACAGGAAACCCCAGGAAGCTTCGCTCATTTGCCTTAAAAACCGAAATAAGAAGATAAAACAGAAACTCAACACGTGCTTAAAAATAAAAATAGAGCATCTGATCTCACCTGTTCCTCGATCTTCTTTTTCTTTGTTTACTTCTTAGTTTCACCCACTCGATCAGGACCAGTCAAACAGGAATAGTTGCTGATAGGAAACATAAATGACTAAATGAGCGTCGAGAGTCTTGTTGTGCGTTCTGGTCTTGTGCAGATGCAGAAATATTCACCTGATGCAGAAGCTGCGGATGATTCAGGAGCGCTGCTTTCCAACAGCTGGCTGCTACAGCCCGCCTCTCGCTCTGTTTGTGTGTGTCACCACACACCGCCTCCTCGGCCATGCTATTGGACACACTCTTCCACCTCCCCTCCGCGTATAAACGCATTCGTCACTATAAGGTGTCAGCAAAAGTTGCGTAAAGTCCTTTATGCCTTCAAGATTTGCATTATGAAGCAATTTAGTTCTAATGTTATCTTTTAAAATGTATGTATATATCTATGGTTAAAGGGCATTTTTGCTTGTGATTCATTCATGTACCACAAAATATTACAAGGTTTTTGCAGGACATTACAACATGTCCTGCAAAATGTCAAAAACAAAAATATATTCATTTTTTTATTTTTAAATAAAATCTTATGAGCTAAATTTAAGGGATGACTTGAATTAATCTCTTTAATGGGATTCTGCAAAACTTAAATTGAGGGGTGAGTCACATGAATTTGATATACTGTGCAAATGTGAGTGCTATGGCTGACTTTAAAGTACATCAACTCTGAAAATGTGACAATGATAAGATTTATTTACTTTTAAACAAAGCTACAAGCATTTGAACGCAAAGCAGAAGGAAGCAGAAGAGCATGGAGCATAGCTGAGGTGTATGGCGGTTCTTCCCCAATTACAATGCAAGGCACAACATTAGGTGTGAGATTCTGTTACTAAATGTACTGCACACAATAGGAATAGGCATATGTTATGTTTCTACAGTAGATATGGTTGATATTTGTTATGATATTTGCTATTATTTTGTTTTAAAAAATCCCCTTAAATGTCAATCCTGCTTTGCCTTAAAAAGTAGAAGATACAATGTGCTTTTTAAAATCAGCCCCTAGCAGAGTCAGTGAACCTAAAGAATTACAGTCTGATCCAAAAGTCATTCAGCAATGAGAACAGAGCAAAACTATTCTGAGGAACACTCTTCTAGAGTTCACGGTCATTTTGATAAAAATATTTAAACATTTTGGCCTCTTTGGTTGGAAGGAATTTTTCGTTTTTTTAGTATTGACATAAAAATTTTATTGTGACTGATGAATTAAAGACTTCGCTATTGGAGGTTGACTGTGGTGTTTCGCTGCTGTTATGGGAAAAGGAAACATCAGTAAATGTTAACTGTTTATCGGGATGCACATATCTCTTTGCATTAAATCAATTTGCACAGTACCAACTGAAACACTGCGTTATGCTCAGCAAACCTGAACACTGGCCACAGGCCATTGCTCAATACCAGAGTCTGTGGTGGCCTGTCACTAATTCAACCTTTACACATTTCTCTGCCATAGAAACAGTGACAACCTAATCACACATTTACACCAATAAAAGCCTAAATACAACATAATTGCAATAGCCAATTCTAAAACTACAAAATGAGTTATTTAAGATTAAGAGTCTTTTTAGTGTTTGTGCCTGTTTGTCCGTACATCAAGTAATTTAAAAATCAAGCATTCCGGCAGTAACTATCTATAAATAGGTGTGGAAATAAAAAGCAAATACAAAATACTGGATGAAAAGTCAAAATTTGGAACGACGAGGGCATAGTTAACATTATCAGCGCTCAAAGCAATGTTTGCTTTCAAGTTGAGAGCAGCTCAGAGTGATTTCCTCATTTTAGTCTAGCCTGAATATTTGAGGCACAAGGAGCTATGCAAAAATAAACAAATCGCTTAAAAAAGGCAAAGAAAGCGGAAAAGGACAGAAAATAAATGTAACTTACGTTGTTTTATTTCCTGTTTCCTACCTAGATAAAACTCGACACCCTTCTTTATGATGCTGTACATCAAGAGCTTGGAAACTACTGGCCTAAAAACATACAACCGATGTTAAAAATACTTCTTTTATTACAGCAGCATGTCTTGATTTAATAGCAATGCTATAAGATTTTTCTTGAGGCTTCATTTGAATTTTGATGCCCTTAACCACAAGATCTAATTACTTAACTCAGCAATATTCTGGAAGCAAATGTCTGTGAATACTGGCTCAAAAACATCAGAAGAGGCCTCATATTGACAGGCATTAACTACACTGACATACCCTTTGGCACATCTCTGAATATTAGTCAATAGTCTCAAATGTTCCCACTTTCTCCATATCATCAGTAAATGATAGATCCCGGTGACACCTAACTGTGACATCTAATACTTATTTATAACTAGCAAACACTGAAACTAACTTCATCCGTGCTGCTATTTTGTAAATGCTTTACTCATAAGTTGTTCATTCCCCTTTGCCAAATCAACCATGGCACATAAAATCGTTCAGTCAGAATTCCATAAGTGCCATGTGCACTGTAGCCCATGCAGAGCTGATGTCATTGGATATATGTTCATCAGCTAACCTGGGTAGTATTGATAGAAAGTAAATGGGGTGTAAAAAGGAGAGGAAACTGACAGAGAATGATCAAAGCAAAGAAAAAAACTAACAGAAAGCAGACATGCTGTCAGCTTAATAGGTATATTTAGAGTTAATAACTGAATCACTGCATGAGCTGCATTATTAACTATTTTGGGGTTGTTACACAATGTACTAAATATAATATGGTGGCAATTTATTAGCACAGATCATCTTTGCAAGTGTGGATAACAACTCTATTTTCTCTCACACAAAGACAAACACATCAACACAGACATGGAGATGCAGTGACACAAGCACACATGCACAGTCTGAGATCCCAAGAGATAGCTTAAACTGTGCATCTGATGCAATACTTAGTAACATCCCTGCAGGCTACCACAGTCTTCACCTCCAGGAATCATTTGTGTGGGGCCCAATCGTGCTGACGGCAAATACAGCAAATCCCCATCAGTAAATAAAGCAAGCTAATCACCTGCAGCAAAGGGGAAATTATGTCTTTGCTATGCGCTGTGTTTGCGAAAGTGCATTCTTCTTTTAAACACAGCGAGAGCTTTGCCGTCGGTGTAGGCACTGAAGGTGGAATCTGAACTGCGTTCACATTCACACAGTCAGAATTACTGATAAATGTGTAAGACAAGAGAAGTTGAGAGAAGCAGCAGAAAGATAAAGGTGCCTTTGCCCTTGAGAACTTTCCGTATCAAGTCCATTTTTTTCATTTTCCTGAAACTTCTCACTTCTGCTTTCGACAAGATCAGCCGCGACCCTTTTAGAGCATGTGGTGAGGCTGTCGAATTCAGAAATAGCCTTCATGGTCAGTCTACATGTGTGAGAGCAATTGTTCACATTGAGTACCTTTATAGCTACAGTCTTATCTGCATCTCAACAGAATAAGGGTTACACCTTTACCTCCCCACCACTCCCCACCAACCCCCAACCTCTAACAGAACAATAAGGCCTCTGTAACTCAAGTCACGGACTTAAAAGTATGTCAGGGTGCTTGTGGTCCAGCAGCGTGTGAATGAAGTGTGTGAATATTTAATATTAATTTGATCAAATTCTGGAGATGTAATTAATTTTTATACAAGGCAATAAAAGTGGGCGTAAAAGTGGAAGGGCAGATGAGAGTTTAGGCGCATCTCTGTCAAGCTGTGCATACTTCCAAAGCTACTTGTGAAAAGTTAATTCGATTCATCCTCTGCAGAGCTGAACTAAGAGTGGCAAGAATATTCGCATTAAACAGAGGTTATCTTGGGTGGTTATCCTTTTTCAAATTCCCCTAAACTTGCTATGGTCCTATTTAGCATGCCCAAGAATAACTTTAGACAAGTTTTTTTCCTCCTTCATTTGTTTTAATATTATTCTTATTATTTGTATAATTTATTTTAACTTACTGCATATCTTTTTATTTTATTTCTGTGTCTTGTTTATGACAATCAATTGCCTGTTTAAAAGACATACAGTAATCCTTTAATCACTTTATGAGGACAGGAGGCTTCAGCAGAAGTAGGTTAATCTAAAAAGAGACACAGCCCTGTTATCATCATATCTACACTGCCTACATTTAAATATCAAGAAATAAACTTGATTAGAATATATATATATATTTTTAAAAAGCATACATTTTTGTGCACACCTTAAGTTTAAAACCTGTTTTAATGGTTAATAATGGGATAACAGGAAATATGTCTTTACTCTCTCGGGGTGTTTTGTCTTTATTTAGTGAGCTCAGCGTCTCCCTTGAGCACGTCGAGGCATTGTTTCTGTTGATCCAAGAGAGAAAAAAAAGTCCATTGTTGTTGCGAACTTTTTAATCTGGGGATTTAAAGCCCATCACATGCTCAGACCGGACTGCGGAGCACTCCACGAAACACAGGCAAACTATTGCCGAAGTGCAAAGAAAGGCGTTCTTTATCCTCACACCGCAATGCAAGCGCACTTTTCTGGACTTTAGGATCGCTGGAGGATTGTGTTTAAGAGCTAAGAACCGAGAAACCCTTTCCCCCCTTTTCCAGGAGAAATCTGACCACCAACGTTTAAAGATAATCATGACGCAAAAGTACAGCCAGCGGTCTTTAATTGTTCTGTCTTTACTGGGGATTTTATCGGCCATCATGTCGGTTTTATCGGTGATTTTGATTTTCCAGCTGCAGTCACAGCAGACGGCGGTGAAGGAATCACCCCCGTCCACCTTCTCGGTCATACCCGCTCATGTCTGGGCCGTCCTGCTGCCAGTGGCCACAGTGCTCTCCGCTCTGTCCCTCACTCTCAACTTGAGCTCTGTGGTTGTGTGTCTCCTCCACAGCTATTTTTCAACCGAGGTCTGCAGAGGAGAACAGGATACAGAAAGGTATTTGTTCTTGCGCGTTAAGGCATTTCTTTTCGACCACCTGTTAGACAGCACCTGCAGCTGTGGTAGCACTCAAAGCCACTGTGCTCATTTCCATTTTTTTTCTTCCTAATCTCGATCCGGTTTTTTCAAACAGGCAGTTCCGGTCAGTTGTGACACACCTTTGACAGTTAAGAAAACCACTATTTACCCAGAAAGGCGACCTCTGAAGCAGCACTGCGCGTTTTTTGCCCCCTCACCCCTAGGCCTTGTTAAAGTAGTCGAGTACTGCTCGCAAAGCAAGGTTCAAAGTTCAAGGTTCTTTATTTGTCACATGCATAGTTATACAAGTATAAGAACATTATATATAATATATACATTAGGTGAAAGTGCAGTAGTAGCATGTTTGCAGCAAGCAGGTGAATTCTGTACATTAAGTGAATTAAATAAGAATAGACAATCTCACTATTTTACAAAATACACATTATGAACATATTTAAAATTAAAGGAATTTGAAATGTACATTGTGCCGGTGGGTTTAGAGTGTCTAGAAGAGAGTCCTGTCTCAGTCACTTATGGGTGATGTGATGTGTTACTAAATAAAAACTAAATAAATGGCAATAAGAGTAAAAAACGAAAAACAAAAAAACCCTTAAATGCGTGCCAAATAAATCCAATACGATACAACACACCATGACTAAACTTCATTTCCCTCTTTGTGTTTTGCAGGGTGTAAGAGATCTCAGTTTAACTTTGTCCAAGGTTTTACGGCTGCGGATTATTTCAACTTTTACTTTCATTCTCCTTTACACATGCTAAGTGTAAAACTAACATGACGACATATATTTTAATAAGACGCAAAGCACTACACTTAATCTAAGTATGGAATTAAGATCAGCTGCTTCAAAAAGCTTAACATTTCAGGTGCGGTAACTTATTATGAGACTGCTGCTTTGCACAACATCCTATATGGGTTCCTATTTTGAGGATAGTGCACTGTCGAGGTGCTCATGTCACACTTCTCCTTGTGCCCACATGTTTTTCAATTGTTAACCCTGCAAACCACAGTCCTATCTTGAATAGTAAATGTACCAATTAGGTTTCGTGCAAAGAAAACATAGTTTCAAAAGGATAAAATGGGTGTCCTGTGCAAGAGTGCAGAGGCCCGCATTGCACACACACACACACCTCTCTAACCCTTTATGAATCCCAGCTAAACAATGGATTTCCTCTCATTATGTACCCAACACACAGCCTCTAGCTGGCCCTTTCCCACGTCGGTTTACAAATCTAACGGCATACCACAGCACCTCCCTGACAATGGAGACATTCCTAGAAATTTTAAATCCATGGCACAAATGACCAAGCATTTATAAAAATAAACAACAAACAAATAGCCCTAATTTTGCAGGACAAAAAGTTATAACTTTATTATGTAGCAAAGAAAATGAACATATCAAAAACAAAACAAAATATATTGTTGTTATTTTAAGTAATGCAATGTCCTTGTGCACTAAACAGATCAGATTTCTTTTAACAGAGCAGATTGGTTCCTTCTGGACAGCAGAGCTGTACGACATGTGGCTATTGGACTCTTCTGTCTGGGGGTTTCTGTCTATTTAATAGGTAAGCCTGAGCAATAAAAAAGGATCTGTATTTTTGTATAAGCATATGTTGTACCATCTGGCAAAATGTTAAACAGAACAAACACATAAAAAAAAGAACTAACTTTAAAAACATTGGCTGTGCAGTGGACTTTCAACAGCAGTGGCAAAACGGCAGTGCTGCTGTCTCCCTGAACCGACCAGTGAGTCCAACAGAACAATGCATTCTTTGAGCAGCCATGACTTAAGTGTTTTTAATGCTGGACCTAGCAGCACTGGTATGCTCTGTTCCACTGAGAGGCTTGTACGGGGGGTGGGGGTCAGCGTAGGCAGCCACTCTATTGTGATGAGGAGGTGTTGCCCTTCTGAACCCACTTCAGCCACAGTCAATAGGTAGCAGGGCAAGACTTTAAAGGCAACGCCACCAACTTAGGAAGTCGCATCACATCCCAGAGCTGTGCTTTTCTCCCACCTCCTTCAGCATGCCTGAGTCCATTGTCCTTTTCCTGCAGAAAAACATAGGAAACTGTAATATAAACTGTAACACTCATTGTGTTCTGCTTTAAGTTATTTGGCCCAGTAGAGGTGCAACTTGTTAGCTGATTACAGAGAAAAGCACTTGGTGTTTCTGCACATACAAATTCTAATTTTTTCCCTGCTACTCTCTTTCTTGGCAGCCATGTCCATTTTTATGCTCCTAATATTCGAGATGGAGACTGGAATTGCAAGTGCTTGTGTACTTTCCTCTGGGATCCTGATCCTGCTGGTGGCTGTAATACACGCTCTGGTTAAAGCTTCCTATACTGGAAAGCACTATCACAGCGACCATCTTGACACCCTGTATCGTAACGACCACGGAAGTAGCAGCGCACCAGTTTCTCGGCCCTGCGAGTTAAAAATTGGAGTGGACAAACCGCGGATCCTTCGCAGCCAGTCTCACCTCCAGCATCATATTGCCTTCACTCAATGTGGCGACCTGAGACAGCGAGAACAATATCAGCAGCAGCAGTACTCCCCTACAGGAGGTTCACAGGGCCACTCTAGTGATAAAGATGCTTACAGCAGTGGTGGCAGCTATCCCCGATTGCACAGGACACTGTCTACTGAATCTGGTTTGCTACAGGCCCAGGTTAAACCCTGGAATGGGGTCAACAATGAGATGAGGAGCGTCCTTGCACGAAAGTCAGGGATTTGTGCAAAAGACTCTACTCTCGTGTAACATAAAATAAGATTAGCAGTTTGCATCAGTGGCTAGAAAAGACTAATGACCTACAAATACTATATGGTGACAACAACAAGTGCAGTGCAGATGTAATACTGTCAACATTCGACAAGTTTATCCAGAATGACTGCAGACAAAAGAAGAAAGAAGAAGAAAGAAAAAAAAAAGAAAAGTATCTTTAGCAACTTTTTTCTCCTTTTCTCCAACACAGGTTACAAAAGTATTATTAACCTGGTGGGGGGAAAAAATGTAGTGCTTCACGTTAATGAATTTGATCTAAATTTCCAAATTATGCACACCAATGCCATCCATATATCAAGCTGATGAATTTATCGCTCATATTATAATCATGTAAATATTTTATTCTGCTGTATAAATCTGCTTTTTGCCAAATATGTGCACAATGTGCAGAAGTGTTTTATGTGCTTTGTAAAATAATTTCACATAAATATTAAATAAATTGATTCTAGAAGTATATATAATTCAAAGAAGAACTTTTTGAACACACAAGCCTGTTATCTGAAAAGCTAATTTTACTAATTTCAGATACTAATAATGTAACGTCTGAAGGAACTACTAACCTTGGACACCTCTGTCTGTCATGAGGAAGTGGATGGGGCATGTGGAGCAGTGACAGTGGGGCTGGGACAGGGACTCACATCATTTAAGCTGCATGCAGTTGTCAGTGTGGGAGGGAAAAAAGGTGGAAAATAAAATAAAAACAACAGACAAATCAAACAGAAAGTATGACGCTTCTAGTAACTACAAAGTATTCAGAAATGTCTGGATTACGAATTTGAAGTTGCAGGAGAAACAAACTTTAATGAAAAGCAATATATTAAATGATATATTACATTAGATGAAGGATACAATAAAATAAATAAAAATAAAATAATGAATAAAATGAATAAAAACAAAAACAAATGATGAACGATATGATGTAGTGCAAAAAACAGTTACGTAAATTGTAAATGGACTGGCACTTTCAATTTGAACACTGAAAGTGCTTTCTACTCCAAGTCTCATCACCCAACCACACACATACAGTGCTTTTATTTTTACTTAAGTGCTTTTAACTAACACACTGTAGGAGCCGTGGATGGATCCACCACCTTTCCATTTGGTAGCTAATCGTCTGACACCAGCTCTACCACCAGAGCCATGGTCACCCCAAATACGTAAAAAGAATGATCCTTTAGATACTGAGGGAGTAAAAATGTGAACATATAAAGACCCACAAGTATATTTTTTATAGCCTTAAGGACGTTGGAGATCTTATCAAAAAAGTAATATTCTATAATTCTTGTGGCTTTACGTATTTACATTAAGTACTGATAACAATAATTGCTCAGTGACTATCTCTCATTTTTTAAAAAAATGTGAGAAGTACATACTGACATAAGCATAAGACAAAGCAAAAAACTTTGTTATATTACCTAGATATTTGAGTGATAAAGATGATAAAAAGCATATTGTAGAGATCTGCATTTTAGCAAAGGTGTGTATGATAATGGCTGCCATAACTAGTTAAGCTTTCCTGTCCCTTATAGGCTCTGCATTTGAATGAAAGTTTCTGAATTTGAAACAAAAAAAAATAGATGGAGTCAGGTTATGTCCATGTAACATGTTTCTAGAGGTAAAGCACAACTAAAAAATGAGAGGGAAAACTGCTACTAACGAGAAGATTAAAGCCACTTTGTAGCATTCAGTGTGATCAAAACAACGTTGTGCTTTTTCACCACCATGTCTCAGTGAACACATTCACTGCCGCCTCCTACCTGCGCCCTTGAGAATTATTAATCTGTTCCTTCATGCTGATGGCTTGACGGAGAAGACTGTCAATGTTTTTGAAATATAAGCTGCTGTTGTTCATGCTCTTCACGGCACTGCAAAAGCCAGCAGATCAATACAAGTATGAACAGTCAGGGCAGGTGGATGGTGAGCTACTTTTATGAAAGCTTTTAAATATGTGTGATCTCACCTGCATGCGTACTCTACAGTGTAGATGGCTCCTTGACTTTGTTCCTCCCAGCTCTGCATATCTGTCTGTGCAAGAAATGAAACCCATTAAAACTCAGTAGAGGGAGAGCGAGAGAGAGCGAGCGAGCGAGTAATGACATTATGATACTTGTGAGGTTTGAGTTTCATTACACTAAACTCCCAGAAAGTTGGTTCTGTCAGCTCTCTGGGATTTTCTTACCTGGGTTATTGAGCATACATCAAAACATTATGGGAAACTGTTCATATCATCAACATGTTTTTCCAGGAAAAAGAGCAGAACAAAGGATATGTTTTACCAACAACACAAAATAAATATTACTCACTTTTAACTGAAGCAATGCCAGTTACATTTTTTCCACGAATCTAAGTATGTATCCAAGTCATGAATAAAACAAGACTGAGACACAGTGCTTGCTTTTAAATGCATTTAAAATTAAAAGAAAAAGATGTTCTACTGTTATTTCTGATCGCACACAACACAGCAACACCTAGGCCAAGAATTTATATAGGGTATTTTAAAGGTTCACCTAGCTTTAAAATAGTTTATTTGGATTATTATGTTATTATATGAGAATTATATCAATGAAATAACACAGTCTTTTGATGTATAATTTTCTTTTTTCCCCAGCTTCTCCCTTTAAGGGTTGGCATAGCTGATCACCAGCCTCCATTGCACCATATCGCTACCATAATTCTGTCACGCCAACCCCCTGCATGTCCTGCTTCACGACATCCACGAACCACCTCTGAGGTCTTCCTCTTTTACTTCTTTCCATATTCAATACCCGTTGTTCAGTATATTCACTCTCTATCCGCTACACACATCCATCCATTTCATCCTTGCTTCCTGAATTGCTCAACCTGAGTTGTTTCTCGGATCTACTCATTTCTAATCCTCTCAGTAAAAATCTTAATATCCAAACCATACAACATAGTAGGACTTAGTACCCTTTCACTTTTGCTGCTATTCTTCTGCCACAAATCATCCATGACACTCATCTCAACCCTCTTCTACAATGCTCTTGTGCACTGTTCATTGCTTTGGATAGTTGGCCCGAGGTATTTACACTCAGCCACCTTCACTACCTTTACTCTTTGCAGCTTTACTTTTTACATATATGAAAACATTCTTTAATTTGTTATTTACGGGACAATATATTTTGCAATGCAAGTCATTGTGACAGGCTTTCTTCATTATCAAAGTGGGTGACAGTTTCACAGAAAGGCCTCTAAGGCTTCAGTAAAAAGGGTAGATAGTAAATTTGGAAATGAATATTTAATTGTGCAGGTGCAAATAAAAGAGGGGTCAAACCTGTAATAACCTGGTATACCTAATAAAGTGTCTGGTGAGGGTATATACCTAAAGAATTTCACTTATCCCAAAGAAGACGTTTCAAAATCGGGTGTTATTCAACCTTTAATGACTAAATACAAATGCCATTTTTTTCTTCTTCCTGAGAAAAGAACGTAAACACCCCAACCTCTGATCTGCTGAAGTCATCAGTTAGGTTTTTCAGTAAAGACTGCCGCTTGTTTCCAAACATAAAGTTTCCTGGCAGAGGTCGTTTTCCCTTCATTCACTTAGATGTGTTACAAGCAGAGTTAATGCGATGTCATCGAGAGGATAAACGATACCTTGTGCTGGACTAGTTCTGGCAGCGACCTCCTGACGTGCTCCTGCAGCCTGTAGAGAGCCACCGACGGCTCGTTAGCCAGGACGTACATGCTCTCCGTGAACTTGTCAGTCACTGTAGTGTAAACGAAGGGAAGACAATTGCATAAAACAAATGGCCCGTGTTTGAAAGCTAAAACAAAATGATGAAAACAGCCTAAATCATAGCCCTGCGACTCTATACTGGAAATGCATTAGCTTAGTGGCTAGATGAAGCTAACAGCTCCGAGGGGGCAGCAGTGGATCAAGGCAACAATGAGCTATGCTGCACGCGAGTTTAGTTTTTGCTAATTTATTTATTTTTACCCCTTCTGACTTTCAGTTGCATCTCCTGGTCCTCCATAATGCAGTCTGGTTTTTACTGTCAGAACTACAATTCAGCTGTACGCCAGTGGTGTCACCTGATTCCCACCTCTTCCGTATTATTGTTGTAGTGTGTCACAGGACAACATTCCGGATAGAAATATGGGCTGTAAAAAAATAAAGAAAACATTTCTCCCTTGAAATTGTGCCAGATGCGGTGATACGTTACACAGGCTGAATCAAACGTGTTTTCAGTGCCTGTTTTGAAAATAACGGGATTATTAAATAGCTAATCATCTGAACGACGGCTAATGTACTATCGGAACACATCGAAGACTAGCAGGATCCATTATGTGATATGAACTTATTTACTTTCAGTTTTCCTTAAAGGAAGTTAGCGCAATTGGACTGGAAGGCTAAATGTGGTGAGTGGCTTTACGAACTGCCTAATTTTTAAAAAACTTTTTCTGCATGCCTAAACCAGATTATTTGTTTTTATTGCAGCGATCATGGAGGGCAGAGGTGATGATGAGGCTGCAGATGGCCAACGTGTTCAGCCATCTAACGCTAATGCATGTCCATCCCTATCAGGAGATGAAAAAGCCAATGGTACTTTATCCTGCTCTGTGTAACAGCTGAATTCGCCTGATTTCTAGGTTCTTGCTATAATCAGTTGAACAGTAAATGTCTTGCTTCCACTCACATGGCTGTGGTTCATCTGATTATATCTCTAGAGAGCATGGAGGTGGATGATGATTTGTTCAAACACTCCACCACTCTCACCAACAAACAGCGTGGGAATGAGGTTACAGTACGCCCGGCAACATTAGACTGTAAGATTTGATAAAGATACTCAGGTGTTAGGGAAACATTTGTACTTATTTTATCTTATTTTTACCATGTTCATTTATTGAGATTTTTCTACCCCCATCAGCTCTGTCCATACATCAGCTTGCAGCTCAAGGTGAGGTTTCACAAGTAGCTGCACACCTGAGCAAAGGTAAGAAATCTCTAACAAGCTTTTTTTTTATTACCAGTATACAACTAAACAAATATCCTACTTAAGGACTCCAATCCTTTTTTCTTTCTTTTTTTTGTCTCACAGACAGCTCATTGCTTAGCAGTCAGGATGAGCGAGGCTTTACACCCCTCATGTGGGCAGCAGCGTTTGGAGAGAAAGCAGTGGTGGACTTTCTCTTGGAAAAGGTTAGAAATAAGGCATGCACATAGGTACTTAAGAACACAAAAGTTATAAGTTACTGGAGGGCAGCTGGGCGGCCCAATGGTGTGGTGTTAGTGCTGTTGCTTCACAACAAGAGGGTCCTGGAGTATTTTTGCAAGGCGTTTGTATATTCTCCATATGTCTGCGTGGGTTTTTTCTGGGTACTCCAGCTTCCCTCCCAGGCCAAAGACATGCATGTTTGGTTAATTAATGACTCTAGATTGGCCATATATAGGATGTATTTCTCACTGCAACAGACTGATGACATGTGATTAAGAAGATGAATGAGAGGCAGTGGTTTAAAAAAAACCTTTTATTAATTAGAAAGAAAATGAACTTATTCTAAAATGTGTCCGTTAGAAGCCAAATTATCATACTGATGATAAAAAGTGTTAACAAAAATGGTCACTGTTTTCAAATCTCAAAATGAATCATATTGTCTTTCAGCTCTACCTCTCTAACTTTGTTAAAGACAAAATTAGAGGGTGAAGACTTATATAGTTTAGACATGTGCAGAGGAGGGATTGTGGATATATTGGACGATGTTGAATATGGAGCTGCCAGGCAGGAGGAAAAGACGACCACCTCAGAGGAGGTTCATGGATGTAGTGAGGGACGACATGCAGAGGGATGGCCGTTAGGGACAGGTTAAGATTCCCTTAAAGGGAACAGCCAAAAGAAGAAATGGTGTCGTGCTTTATTGTTAATGCATGTTTTTTCTTCCAGGGTGCAGACCCCAAAACAATTGCGAGGGAGCGAGAAAGCGCCCTGACACTGGCCAGCTCTGGAGGATATGTGGACATCGTTGAAGCCCTCCTCAGACATGGAGTGGACATTAACACTTATGACTGGGTATAGTTATGAATTTATGACTTTCCATCATAAAATCTATCATTTTTAAGGAGCAAGAAATCTAAATACTATATTTTTAACATTTTTATTTTACTGCACACTGTATATTATTCTCAGAATGGTGGAACTCCTCTTCTTTATGCTGTACGAGGGAACCATATCAAATGTGTAGAGGCATTGCTAGGTACAGTGCATGTCTTTAAGTCATTATATATTCTAGAAATTATTTTTTAAATTGCGTCACTAATTTCCTATCGCTCTCTAATTTAGCCAGAGGAGCAGATATGACCATAGAGTCTGACTCTGGATACAGTCCAATGGCGCTGGCAGTTGCCCTTGGGCATAAGAAAAGTAGGTATACAATGCACATTTTCTTTTTTGAAAAACTAAGATAAAAATGTATTGCTAAGGTAAGATTTTTACTTCCTTTCTCCTATAGTCCAGAAAGTGTTGGAGGACCACATCTTGAAACTCTACAAGCCATCAACATGACACTTATTAAAATACATTAATGGAGTTGCCAGTGTGACACTCAGCTGATCTTAAACCTTCGTTGGTTTTCACAAAAATGTCTGTCACAAGCTAAGGTCATAATGGATTATTGCATACACAAACATTTACCAGATAAACAGCGATTTTTAACCTGTTTATTCCATTTATATGCATTGCAATGTTCAAAATGTTTTACAAACAAGGACTGAAATGTGACAGTTGTGCAGCTGAATTATTTTGCTTGGCTGAAGAATGACCAAAAAAAAAAAAATTCTAATAAATTATTTTCATACTGGAATGGCGCTTTAATTTTGAAGGCACAGAAAAGGTATAAAAAGCAGATTACAAGTGCACAATCAAAATGTGCAAAGGGTCACTGTATGACAGGTCATCGAAGCTTTCATACCAAAAAAGGCCACATTCACAAGAGTTCATGAGGTGGCAACACAGATGACATGTTTCCCAAGTGCCACCACACCATCCTACATCCTGTACTTTCACTCAGGGGTCACTTCCTCTCTCTCATGAGAGGACTGAAAAATGGTCAGGAGGCTTTTTCCCCAAGGACATCCAAGGAATAAACAATAATTCTCCCAAAAAAGTCAGCACTATTCTCAAACATTATTTTTACTTTGTCCACTACAGAGGCCTCCTGTATGGGAAAGCTGTGGGTGTGGAGTTAAGAACAAGATAAGCGTGGTAATGATGAAAAGCATGTCCAGGAAAATATTGTCCAATGCTTTTTATGAAGCAGGAAACGCACCATGCTCCTGTAGTGACAGGTACAGCTTTGAGCTGTTGTTGGCGTACACCAAGACTGATGTTTTATAACAGAATTATGTTTATTAAAGGAACACCATCAACTACTTGATAGAATAAGCTGAGCTTAAATATTTTTAATGGCATACAGCATCATCAGTGGCTGTGAACAATATTTTTTGCACAAATTAAGTAGTTAAATATAACATTTATAGCTACTTCAGCAGTGACTGCTAATTTGGAGTATAGAAAAGAACAATGGCTCCCCACTTGACTGCTAATTTAAGGAAAAGATTGGTCGAAGCCCTATATGCAATCAAATCTCCTTGTGAAAATTCAGTATAGTGAGAAAAAGGATATCTGAAGAGAGTTGTTATCCTCTGGGTAAAAATGGCTGAGCACTGTAAAGTCTTTATCTTTTAGGCAACCTGCAGAAAGCACAAGTGGAAAAGTAATTTACATTATCTCATTATTACTGCTTGAATTTGAAGTGAAACATTTTAATCAGGAAGTCATTTTTTAATATTATCTTCAGGATTTACCTTCCAGTCTGCACGTTTTTGCTGAGAATCCTCCCTGGAATTGGACCTTTAACTCTGACACTCTGACAGAGTTGGGGAACTCCAGGGACACCCACTGACATTCACCCTGTCAGAAAAATAATACTCATAATGACACAGAGATGTGTACAGCAAAACATCCATTTGCCTGTGAAAAACAGGATGCCGAGAATAACTGTCTCTGTCGCCAAGAATATGGGAACTTTTAGTCGTTCTTTTATCAGATCCCCACTAACTGTGGCCACAGCAACAACTATTCTTCCTGGGGTCCACAATGCTGTACATGTAAGCAGATTATAATTATTTATGGTAAATGGCCTGTATTTGTATAGCGCTTTTCTAGCCCCTAAGGACCCCAAAGCGCTTTACACAACCAGTCATCCACCCATTCACACACCCATTCACACACTGGTGATGGCAAGCTACATTGTAGCCACAGCCACCCTGGGGCGCACTGACTGCCGGACACTGACGCCACCGGGCCCTCTGACCACCACCAGTAGACAACGGGTGAAGTGTCTTGCCCAAGGACACAACGACCAAGACTGTCCAAGCCGGGTCTCGAACCGGCAACCTTCCGATTACAAGGCGACCTCCCAACTCTTGAGCCACGATCGCCCCAATTATCAATAACCTTTATTTAACCAGAAAAAAAAATAATTGAGATCTGAATCTTTTTTACAAGAGTGTCTTGGTCAAGAAGGACAGAAGTACAATCATAAGTTGCATAAATTAATAGCACATAGAAATCCTTTAATTAATTTATAAAAATATATATTAGATTATCAAGAATTGTGTCAATCTTTTTTTTTCTTTATTATAAATTCAACATGTTTCAGGCTTTTTCCTACACAAATCACAACATGTATTGACAAAGTGGGCATTTAATCATTTTATAGACAAAAGCATTTAAATAAGAAATATAAGAACATAGAAAGTTGGGAAATTCATCAAAAGTCAAGATAAAAATTATCATTTTGTGATGATGTATATGAATAACAGTCAGTCAACGACCACCTCCTAATGGACAACTACTACTAGGATTTAAATACCAGGGACTCTCCACCCTTTCATTTTAAAACTAAAGAAAGCTCTTGATGAGAGGTGAAATGTCTTCAATAAACTTAAAGTCCGATTGCTTTCTTTTTTTAACAAAACAAACATGATCTGGATGACTGAGAATCTACACACATACTATTGGTTAAAAAATTAGCATATCTCAGCATGGTGTGCAGTGTATCAAAATGTTTGGGAAACTGAACAAGTGGAGGACAAAATAAGAAGCCACAGACCTAAAGAGCCATTTATGGCAGGCCAAAAGTATCTGAAAGTCAAATCTTCAATAGGAAAAAAATCCAGCAAAGACGTGGCCCAGGACCTGAGAGATCCATTTGCTTTTCACCTAACCCTTATCAGAAAGAGAAAAAAATCCTTGGCAACGGGTCTTCTAAGCAATGAATTTAAAAAGTATGACGAAAGTCAGGAGAGAGTTACTACAGTGAGTGTCTACACGATCCATGCTGTGTGCAATCCTGTCAGTGGTTTTGGGGTCTTCTTAAACTTGATGGAATTATAAACACAGAAATGTATCGTGAGATCAGATTTTGAGCCACCCTGCATTTCTCTGCATGACAATGATCCCCAAAAAAACACTACTACACAACTTTGAATATCCTTGAAACCTGGAGAATTCTTGGAAGACTATTCCTGCATTTGTATATATGTTTGCACATATTTTAATAAATCCCTGCCCCTTGTCCCCCCCATTTTCCAAGCAAAATATAAACAACTGGGGATAGCTTAACAATTTTAACCAGTATCATACCACTGTGCAGATCATGTAGTACAGTTAGTTAGTTGTAGTGCAGTTACTAACTGTACTACATGATGAGTACTAGATGAGCCATGCATTGATGGAAATGAATTAAAGTTGTTAGGGAGCTTAAGATCTGGTAAAATGTTTTGCCCTCTTTGTTAAATTGGTCTGATCGTCTTCTTCTTCTTCTTCTTCTTAATAATAATAATAATAATAACAATAATAATAATAATAACAATGTTATTATAATTATAAAACTATAAGGGTAGACAGACATTGAAATAACAAATACACTCAGAAACACAAAGGCATAAAACATGGATAAAATTAATGAAAGACCAGAGATAAAACGCATAATAGAATCACTTAAAAGCAAGCCTATAAACATAATTTTCTCAGGCAGGTCATTCTAAAGTCGAGATGGCCCTGATGGCAAAAAACAGTCACTTTTTCGATTTAAATCTTGATTTTCAAAGCAGCCTGCAGGGCCCCACCTGAGGATTGCAGGCTTATATGGGGTCAGTAGCTCTACTATGTAGCTTGAGGACAGACCCAGGAAAGCTTGGGAAGTAATCAGTAAAATCTTAAAATTCTGAGCATGTTGAAGATGAGAGTGTAACTTTTCATTAATGCCAGTGGAGAGAATTGCAGAAGTCCAGTCTTGAGAAAATAAACATGTGACATAAACCCATATTTTGAGCTCTGGCTCAGATATGATGGCAGTTATGTGGATAGTGTTCACATATGGCTGCTTCTTTGCATGATCAAGCTTTAACCTGTATTGGTGGATTACAAGATGAACTTGTCTGCACTGTGATTTCTGAACCCATACAGTGATTTCCATGACAGAATCATGTTTGCATTTAATGCAACGCCACCTGAGAGCCCAAAGATCAAGGGCATCCAATAATGATTTTTGGCCTTATGCTCCTTGAATATTTCCCTGATTCTCGGAATCTTTCAATGACATTATGTACCCTAGATGATGACCATATATTCATACTAGTCTCTGAAATTAATTGTTCCACAACATATAGATGATTATTTGTCCATCTTTACTTCTGAGAAACGTCCTCTCTAAGATGCTGTTTTTATAGCTAGCCATGTTACTGACCTGTTGCCAATTAACTAGTTTCATGTTCTTTTTTTCTTGTAAGTACCACTTACATTTGTCCCAGCTTTTTTAGAGAAATGTTGCTGTCACCAAGTTTAAAATGAGCTATTATTCTTAATGAAACAGTAAAATAGGGTTCCGGTTTAAAATTCTGGTGTTTTTCTGTTCTATAGAAAATACGATATAGAATTGTGAACTTTGCAAAGCATTGCATTTTGTTTGTATCTACATCTTACACAGTCTTCCAGCAACTCAAAACTAAAGGGCAGACTAAACTAACCTTTCTTTAGGTTTCTGGTAACAGTTTTAGCAATAAGTTGTGAGGAACGGGTCCATTGCTATATTTGTATTTACCTGGTCTGAGTTCCAGCATGTCTCCTCATTGCAGTCAAACATGTACTTCTTTCCATACTGCTTAACATCTCTGTTTAGCACTGAACTCACTCTGAAATGAGAATAGAAACACAAGATTCACGACTCAAGGACCAGTAACAGGCTGCCGTCCAAACACGTACAACAGCCAAGTACATTATCTATGCACTGGTGAGTACATTTCTCTCATTTTCATTCTCTCGTTTTGCTTTTTCTCTACCTGCTTTGTGTTTCGCTGCAAAGCAACGAGGAAGCCATGTCAAAACTTCAAATCACAACGTGCCGTAAAGCGCTGGAACCTCGCTGTGTTGTTTTTACGACTGTGACGTTCTGGCATGACCGCTTTTCTTTCCTGCCACCAGGTGGAAGTCTCGCTCCGTCAAAAATATTTAGACGACAGTCTTTCGCTATACGTGGCTGGAGGTTAAGTCTCTTAATCTTCATCTGAGGTCCCGGGCGCTCATGATTAATAATTAAACGCCGAAAAAAATAAAGTTGATCCCGCTCTTCGTGGCCTGTGAGAGGCTGCACTGCTTTTCATCTTCTTGTTTGTCCCCCCAGGTCTCGTTGCTGTCCTCCCAGGCGAGACGCAAAAGGTCAGAGAAATGAGAATCGATTGGGACGGGGGGCATTGATCAGCAAACCGAGTTCAACCTACAGATGAGGCATAGATGCTAAAAATGGCCTACACTTAAATATAGAGCTGCCGCCAGTATTAACCCGGGTTTGAGATTTTCTCCCAAGGACGTCAGGAAACGGGCAAAGATGTTACATGTGTGTTAAGATGAAGGTGTGTTTGGGTGATGGGATAATCCTATAAAAGAACCAATATCGGCCTCTCAGTGCTTTTATTAGCGAGCATATCCCCATATCTCAGTTTCATAACCTGGGAACCAATAACACAGGAGAGCAAATCTCCCTCTCCCCCCTCTTTGTGTGTGTGTGTGTGTGTGTGTGTGTGTGAGTGAAGGAGGGAGCCTGTTTTTGGCACATGGTCCACTGCAGATGGAGAACTCCTGCTGAGGTTTTGTCACAGTGCCCCCCCTTCACAGCACATAATCAATAGGTCTAAAATACAAAAACTGATGAAACCCAGCCTCCGTGAAAATTGTGCAGGGGGCTGGGGAGAGGGACTGTATTATAAGGTTTGGACCCCCTCCTCCACCACTACCACCACCCTTACCCTCTGCACAACCAGCAGCATGCTCGCTCACACTTTGACTTTGTGAGCCTTACGTTACAGCCCCGGTTTGTGCAGCAGCTCCTGCAGCACCCTGTCGAGTATTTGAGATTGAGAATAAATTGTGATTTCAAGCTGCAGTAATATATTTCCCATCCATATATGAATGTGCAATATATCTTTGGAGTTTTTGTAAAGCTGTTAATCAGAAACACTGCCTGAATTAATTTGGCAGGTGCTCATATTTTTCCACATCAAAACTAATTTTCTGGCCCGTAGCCATTCTGGAAGCCCACCTGGCCGGCAATCGCTCGCTGGGTGAGTGATGAGATGGCATTGACCCATAAACTTGTGCCCACGTTGGCTGCTAATAATGCCAAGGTGGACTGCAAGTGGCCAGTCATCCTCAGAACCCGCAGGAGCTCTTTTTGTATCCATTAAAAAGCATAGTTAGAGACTGTGACATTGCCAGGAAGTCAGTGTGCCCAGACAGAATTCTCAAACACCCACAACCTGTCATTTCTACACTTAAGGTATTATACAAATAAGAAAAGTATACCTGTAGGCTTATTTGTTTCTTTAACATTCTCCCCCCTTTTTCTTTTTACTGTAAGCTAAACTGAGTGGCTCCTGGTTACAGTCACATTTAACGGATGGACATATGTTAGATCTCTTCATCTAACTATCAACATAAAAGCTTAATGAATATAATGAAAAAGTGCATTTGTTCCCACCTGACAGTGACTGTGGCCTAGAGGTGGGGTGACAAAGGGGAGACCTGTTATTGTTGTCGCAGCTGTTCTGACTGCTTATCTCTAAAAATATTCATTGAT